TAATTTTTATATATATAATAATATATTAATATTCAAATATTATATAGTTTTATATACACGATATAATACTGTTGTAAGATACATATTTAAACAAAATTTTATATGTCAAAGTTTAAGAAATATAAAATCTAGTCAAATTATAAATATACACACGCGCGCGCAATAAATTCCTATATATGTATGTTAAATGTGATTGAAAGGATCTAAAACATTTCCTTCATGAGCATATTTATTTTATCATAAATGAATTATAATTTTTTTTTGTTTAATTTATGCAAGATTTAATTATTATAAACTATCTGCAGTACTTAGTACTAAAAAAAGACTATTCAATAAAAAAAATATAGCGCTTTTTAATCCACAATTATTGTTTTTACTATCAATTAATATAACAGTTTTATGATGAGGAAAAATACTTTATCTATTAATAGATAATTAATTCAATTGAACATAATTAATTCAATATGGTCGTGTTGCCGTCACACGATTACTTTATAAATCTAATTTACAACTCAGCACTTAATATAGAAAAAAAAAAAACACTGTCGTAATCTTAAATTTATAAAATGATCGTGCTTGAAAATGCGAAATAACGTTTCTATTCAGTGATGTGTTCGTAAAATTTTGAACTTGATATTAATCTTTAAAACTTAATCTTTAAAACTTTATATCAATTGATGACATTAATTTTCTAATTAAATATTGATCATTAGAATATCATTAGAATTGCTTAAAATTTTATTTAAATAAAATAATAATATGAATTGTGATACATGCATGCAATATTTTATGTAAATATGAATTGTAAACAAATTTCTCAAAACTGAACATTAAATAAAAACAGTAAATAAAATCTCTTACAATTACTTTATATTATGTAAAGAACAATGTAATTATTATATTTTTAAGTGATAAAATAACCAGATTTTGCAGAAGAAAACCGATCAATCGAAATGCAAAAAAATGTCAATAGTAATGCAATTATCATGATGTTACGTAATTTATCGTAATAAAATTCTTTAATGAAATTGAAATTACACACCACACACACACACACACACACACACACACACACACACACACACACACACAATTTCCTGAAAACTTTTCGTAATATTTTAATTTTTAATATTCAATATAATGTTAATTAAATATAAGTTAAAATTTAATTATTATTTAACTAATTTTAATCTGAGATACGTAATTATTTTAATTAATTCTTCAAAATCTTCTTCCTTTATTTTTTATTTTTAATAAATTGAAATTAAATTTGTTATCGAATTTTTATCGAAAAAGTGGTAGAAAATCTATTTCATATTTTTCAAAGAAAACTCTAATTAAATAAAAATATAACATTTTTGCGATACAGTATGTTAATTTTTTCTTCTTAATAAATTTAATTTAACTAAGGATCTTATTAAGGACATTATTGAATTAATATTATTCTGAATTAATATTATTCATCAATAACATAAATTATATAGAAATAATTTGCTACAGCCGACAGCCTTTTGTGGAACAATTTTTGGAATAATGTGTATTTTTATTATAATGTCTCGTGACAAGAGAAATAGAGATGAATATTTTTTTCGCTATTTGATATCGATCGAAATCGCGTCAACCTCCTTCGTATCTCGCAAGAGAAAATATTATAACTTCGACGTTTTACTAGACAGTAAGCTGACGTGCTTGTTAAATATTATCTACGTATTGCATTCGATCACAGATTAGAACTGAAAACTTAAGATGTACATGTATATGATAAGATATATATATATATATGTATATATTGTTGAGAGAATATGGCAACGTTGTGCAACGTATAATGGTATTTATCAGGCGTTTTGCGGTAATATGGTTGGATACGTTACTATAAATAATAATTGTTTGTCCTGGATTTTACAATGCTCTTACTATAAAACTAAAAGTCACATTTAAATTTATTAAAAAATGTAATATACAAATATTTTGTCACTTATATATAAATAAAATAATAAAATAGAAACTTTAAATAGTATTATTATAATATTACTATGTTATTTTATTTTATTAAAAAATTTATGAATTTCTTTTATGTTTGTCTATTATCTCTTCTATAGCTACTTTTATTAAAGCTCTTTTGTAAGAGACATTAGTCAATATTTGCGTTTACATGTGCACTGCGTTAGGTCATTAACATCATTACAACGATAGCCACTCCTTTCCTCGAATCTTACGATCATTTTATCAAACAACCTGCAAACGCTAATGACCCGTAAGAATCTGCAAAATAACAATGCATCGATGAGACGAAGAAATAGCTGAGCATGCCGCTTTGACTATCACTTGCAAGAACATCAGAGCGTGTGCTGCTTTTTCAATGAGATTTCAAGAGCTTGATTTACATGCACGACAATTACCAAACGTTGAATCCATCAAAGTAGAACCGAGCATTGTAAGAGAAAAGAATGTAACGAATATA